TTCTCTTTGGCCGGGGCCGCTTCGGTCTCCTGTGCTCCTGTGGAGGCCACTGGTGCAGCCTCAGCAGGCGCTGGGGAAGGAGAAAGGGTCCTGGTTGGCTGCCGGGCTGTCCTGCGTTCAGTTCCATCCCTGCCCCTAACTACTGTGTGATGTAAGGCAAATTAAGCAACCTCTCTGGTCAGAACGTTGGAAATAACAGCAGCTGCCCAGCTACCTTCCAGGACCCTGGAGGTCCAAACAGACCAGGGGCTATGGAACCCTCTGTGCTCCACATTAACACAGACGATTTCCACTGAGGACCCCCTCCCCCGCCCCCGTCCCCCCTGCCTGACTCAGCACCTGATCCTGAGGTGGAGTAATAATGTCTGTCTAGGAAGCCAGGGGCACCTGCACGGTGCCTGGCCCCCAGGCAGACTCCAGGGCTGTGACGTTTTTGCCATCAAAAGGCAGCAGGAGCTCCGCTGACTTCTGGGAGGAAGTTCACTCCCGAATGACAGAGCGAGGAGGTGTCCTCTCTTGCTCGGACTCTGACTCGTAGGTAATGGGTGCCTAGAGTGTTGTGTTGAGAGGGCTTTTGAGGCCAAGTGTGGGCTTGGTGGGAAAGAATGTTATGGTCGGAAACAGTACTCTATTATGGATACAATAGACTAGAGGCCTAGTGCACAAAATTCATGCACAGGTAGGGTCCCTACCGGCTGCCGGTCAGGGCCTCCCTTTGTTCCCCGCCGCCCCTGGTGGTCAGCGCACATCATAGTGAGTGATTGAACTCCCGGTTGGTCAAATTCTGGAGGGGACACTTTGCATATTAGGCTTTTATATATATAGATATGAGTGTATATGAAATGATGGCCTCTCCATCCCCACGTATTTCGGTAGAGAAACGGGCATGCTCCTTGCCTCTCCCACCATTTCTCTTCTCAGGCCCCAAGCCTATCCATTCCAGGCCACGAATTGCTCTTAGATCTTTCTTGACCTCAACCACTGCCCTAGCCCAGGCCCCTACCCTCGCTCCTGGACTGGTCTCCCTGTCCACCAGGCCTCTCCCTACTGTGAGCCCTGCCAAGGCCACATGTTGCCTTCACATACAGTCCACACTGCCTAGCATGCCCTCTCACAACAAAATGAGGCAGAGTGTGTGTGGTGTGAGCTCGTAGCTCAGAGAGCTCGAGGCAGGGTAGCTGCTGCCGCTTCCTGGTCTGGCCCCAACTTCCATCTCCAGCACTGCCCTCGGACTCCCTGGCCCGTGGGCCGTGCCATCCTGCTACTGTTCCCAGAATGCCCTGCCTTTGCCTGCCTCCCTGTCTGCCGACCCCCCAACCCCCACCCTTTGCTCATAATGCCCGATTCTTGCTTTGTAGCTGACTGCATCTTGTCCTTCAGGACTCAGAAGAGCCCCACCTCCTGTAAGCGGCCTCCCCTGAACCCCCCTCCCGCCAAAGCTGGCTTAGGTGCCCGCTCTTGGTGCCCCCACCGAGCCCCAGGCTTGTTTCTGGAGCCTCACCTCTCGCACGCTCTGTGATTGGCTGTGCTTTGCTCTGTCTGTCCCTTTGAACTTGGAGCTTCAGAAGCTTCAGACTCTCCCACTCTGACCACCAGAACACCCTCCTCTCATTTGGCTCTAAGTGCCCCCATTCTCCCATGTACAACCTGCTTGATATTTATACCTCTGCTCTTCTCTTCCGGGGCAAAGAGAATAATCAAACATGGGTAGTGGTTGAGGTCAAGAAAGATCTAAGAGCAATTTTAAAGGTTCTACAGGATTTTCTCCCCCTCACCTAGTCCTTCTGGTCACCCTCGCTCCACGTCTGCCCTCTCCCTGTCCAGCCCCCTCGTCACACTCCCCACACCTGCCCCCCACGTTCCTCCAGGCCCAGCCAGAGGGAGCCGCATTTCTCATGGGGTCTCCTGCCTCCCCCCATCACTCCCGGAGCCCACGGTGCTCTCTGCCTCCCCTGCTTCCCTCCACGTGGCTCTCACCCATCCTCTCCACCCACCTTCAGGGCCTCTCCTGGGAAGCCTTCTCTCTCTGCCCAAGAGTGGGTGGCATTGCTGTGGGTGTGACTGGCTCCCCTCAAGGCCAGGAGCTCCTCCAGGCAGAGACCAGCTCCTGCTTAAGCCAGACCCCCCCCCCCAAACTTGGCACCGCATGGCATTCAACCAGTGTTTGCTGACGACTCTGAATTTTTCGGGGAACTTTCAGCACTAGAGCCATGGACAGAGACCCCTCCCATGAAACTTTTCCATCTTGGCCCAGACAAAGACATTTTTTCAGACGATCTTTATCGTTCCTCCTAAGTCTCCTCCGCCCAGGTTGAGCAAGCCTGACGCTCCTGGGGACACACCTCCCTCCTCCTTTCTCCCCGTCCTCCCTGCTCCACCTCGCCTTTCCGAGTCTCCCCCATCTTCCCAAGGCCGGAGGACTAAGAGCCCAGATTCTGACACCTCCTACCGGTGTGATCTTGGATAAGCTACTTAGACTCTCTGTGCCTTGGTTTCCCCATCTGTAAAGCAGATATACAACTATGGACTATACCTGGTATTTAGTAGATGTTCAGTAACGATTTCTTGCATGAATAAATGAAGGGATTAATGCATAATACCTAGGTCACAGGGGTTTATAAAAATTAAATGATTTAATTTATGCAAATGAATGCAGATCCATGTCTGGCACACAGAAAGCTCTCAGTGTTAGCGATTTGAGCATTTTCTTCCAGTTCTTTCGAAATCCTGGGGCGGCTGGAAGGGTCGGGATTACTGGTGAGTTTCAGTGGCCTGCAAGCGCAGAGGGGACCCGGGAGGACAAGGTTCGGGGGTCCACTCCTTCCAGGGTCCTCAACTACGTCCTCGCCCTCCGCCCGCAGGGTTCAACCCTCCTACAGCCGCTAGAGGGAGCCCTCAAAGTGGCGGATTCTGTCCGCCCAGGGAGAGGGCGACCGGTCCTCGCAAAGGGGTCGTGGGAAGAGGGCAAGGGCGCCCAGAACCGACAAGGAGGAACCCGCCACCCTCTGGCACGCCCTTCGGCGCGACGCCAGCCCCAGGGAGGGCCCGCGTAACTGGTTTGTGGGGCACGGTCAGCAGGTGATGAAAGCCGCGGCCGTCGGG